GTTTGGCAGAAAGGTCCCTTATTTGGTGTCCTGAAAGATGTGCATACATCTCAGCATCTTGCCAACACTACACAGCAAGGAGTGAACCGGCAGAGCTACCAGCTGCCTCCTTGTAATAAATAATTATTCCTATCCCCCTCCCCCCGCATTAAACCTATTATGGTCACTAAGACACCAATATTAATAAAAGGGAGGTTAAATCCCCCTGCATGCCCCAACTCTCGGTATGCAGTGAGTAGGGGCATGTTACCTAAACAGCGAGCAGCCACTCTGTCATTTTAAACTAAATATAAATCAGTATGGCGGTCACTCTGACCCCATATTGTTAAAAGGGAGGTTAAATTATCGCACGAGTAGGGGCATGTCACCTAAAAAAATTTAAAAGTACTAATGACTGCGTAGCTATTGCTGTCCAGTCACTAGTGCAATAAGAGGTGACTTGGCACAGGTGGGGAACAATAATAACTAAAATGGGGGGGGGGACATAGTGCCCTCCCTGTGTCCCTATCTGTTACCCACAGGTGGGGGCTATTAATATAAATGGGGGGACTTAATGTCCACCTGGTCCCCGCCCATGAGCGGCAGGTGGGGACCCTAATTAAATAAATAATAATTAGGGGACCTAATGTTATGCTATCTTATATAGAAGTGTTAGAGCCACAGTAAGAGTACGTGTAAAAAATAGCTATTTATATCTAAATAACAACTTTTTTATATTTCAACATTGTTATAGTTTTTGCTATAACTATTGGTTAAACTCTTTCCGTAGCTATCTCTTCTATGTGAAATAAACACTAATTTACATAACCAGTATGTAAAAGTGGTAGTGTGTAGCGCTAAATGATATTAACTTACATCATAAAAAACTTTAGGGGTATGGAATACATATATATCCTCCAGAATCTTTGAGGGTATAGGAGATATATATACTGTGAAGAAAATAGAAAAATATATAGTGCACTCTGTGCAAACAGACGTAGTTGTAGACCATATAATAGGAAGCACTCACGTGGTTCAGAGCCTATTAAGGATTGGCTCTTAATCACTCTTGCCTTGTGTCCTTTAGGTGACACACACCTTCAACTCCAGATAAAGGATAACCCTCAAAATAAGAGAAAAACAGGGGGAAATTCGCCCTAGTGTTGAAATCCTTAAAAACAACAATATGCAAACATATGTGTGCAGGTGAAGGTTGCTTCTCACCTGAACAAGAGCCTGTAACCTGGCTCTAAGTAGAAAGGCATATGAGTCCTTTTTTGGGATGACTCCTTCCCTCTTTAGTGGATGGAAAATGCACCAAGTATACTTTTAAAGAATAAAATAGTATTTATTACATTCACTTAAAATCAATCTTGATACATACAGTATATTGGTGTCCAAAACGCGTTTCGCCGATTCCGTTCGGTTTTCTCAATTGGTAATTTCCATCCAGTTCTCTTCCTGTTTATAAATCCCGCCTCCCGTCCTGATTGGTGGTCAGAGATCGAAAACCATCCAATCACTTTCTTTCTGCGGGGGAGGGTAAAGTGCTCCAGCTGTATTGCTTTATCCCTTAGCGGTGACGTCATCACGCACGTACATATGATCGTGCGGACGGCGTCACTTCCGGGAATGTGAAAGAGCAGTATTCATAACATTAGTCCTCAATATCCGATCCTCATTTCCTCAATTTAGTTGACATCACTTCCTTTTCTCTCAAAGCACTCCCCTCCAGTTCGTCATTCCTCCATTTTGATTAATGGCAAAAGTGTTGAAAAAAATCGTAAAAGAAAGTTCATGATGATATTTTCCAATCCTAAGGCAGATATGCTCATATTTGAGCATTTAGGCATAAAGAACAATAAAGTGCATCAATTAGTTATGTTTTTACAAATGTTATAAAATTAAACAAATTATCACTTGCCACACAACTAAAGTAATATATATGATCACTTGTCCTTGCGGTTTAGCTTACATAGGAAGGACCAATAGGACTTTAAATACCAGAATCCAGGAACATATTAGGAACATAAAAAAAGGATTCCTCAATCATAGTGTGTCCTTGCACTTTAAAAACCAACATAATAGTAACCCCCAATTGATGGAATTTATGGGAATTCAGAAAATAGTTGGAAATTGGAGAGGTGGTGACCCTATGAAATTAATTGGACAAATAGAGATGAGATGGATTTTTAATTTAAACACCATGCAACCTTATGGTCTTAATGATGATTTTGAATTATGCCACTTTTTATAATTTTTTAGCTATTTTTTAGCTATTTTTTACAGTAATTTTTATATTCTATTTTTATATTCTATTTTTACTGTTTAAATGGAAATTTTATTGAAGAATTCTTTTATTTCTAGTGGCTAGACCATCATTAAGACCTTGCACATACATCTCCTACTTAGAAAATATATATGTTCTCCTTTAAGTATGTCTTTCTTTGTAAAATCATAACTAATTGATGCACTTTATTGTTCTTTATGCCTAAATGCTCAAATATGAGCATATCCGCCTTAGGATTGGAAAATATCATCATGAACTTTCTTTTACGATTTTTTCAACACTTTTGCCATTAATCAAAATGGAGGAATGACGAACTGGAGGGGAGTGCTTTGAGAGAAAAGGAAGTGATGTCAACTAAATTGAGGAAATGAGGATCGGATATTGAGGACATTAGTTATGTTATGAATACTGCTCTTTCACATTCCCGGAAGTGACGCCGTCCGCACGATCATATGTACGTGCGTGATGACATCACCGCTAAGGGATAAAGCAATACAGCTGGAGCACTTTACCCTCCCCCGCAGAAACGTCCGTGATTGGATGGTTTTCGATCTCTGACCACCAATCAGGACAGGAGGCGGGATTTATAAACAGGAAGAGAACTGGATGGAAATTACCAATTGAGAAAGCCGAACGGAATCGACAAAACGCGTTTTGGACACCAATATACTGTATGTATCAAGATTGATTTTAAGTGAATGTAATAAATACTATTTTATTCTTTAAAAGTATACTTGGTGCATTTTCCATCCACTAAAGAGGGAAGGAGTCATCCCAAAAAAGGACTCATATGCCTTTCTACTTAGAGCCAGGTTACAGGCTCTTGTTCAGGTGAGAAGCAACCTTCACCTGCACACATATGTTTGCATATTGTTGTTTTTAAGGATTTTAACACAAGGGCGAATTTCCCCCTGTTTTTCTCTTATTTTGAGGGTTATCCTTAGTCTGGAGTTGAAGGTGTGTGTCACCTAAAGGACACAAGGCAAGAGTGATTAAGAGCCAATCCTTAATAGGCTCTGAACCACGTGAGTGCTTCCTATTATATGGTCTACAACTACGTCTGTTTGCACAGAGTGCACTATATATTTTTCTATTTTCTTCACAGTATATATATCTCCTATACCCTCAAAGATTCTGGAGGATATATATGTATTCCATACCCCTAAAGTTTTTTATGATGTAAGTTAATATCATTTAGCGCTACACACTACCACTTTTACATACTGGTTATGTAAATTAGTGTTTATTTCACATGTAATCACCATAGGATTGAAGAGTACCTATTTTCCTGTGTGAGAGCTGCTGTACTATAAGAGCACTTGTTATTATTTAATTTAAACGCCTGACAACACAGAATATCCTGCTATATTGTTGATCTCTTCTATGTAAATGTGATGTTTAAGTGACATGCCCCTGCTACACTGGGGGACCTGACACAGGTAGGGGCATGCGGCAGGATTTAAGCCGGGCCAGGTCTCCCTTATTGCACTAGTGACTGGGCAGCAATAGCGAATGTGTGTGTGTGTATATCTGTCAGTGTGTGAACGAGTGTGTGTGTACCTGTCAATGTGTGTCTGTATCTGTGAGTATGTGTCTATCTGTGAGTGAGTGTATGTCTGTCAGTGAGTGATTGTGTGAGTCCAGTGGTGTATTTTGGAGCTGTGCAGCCCTGCCCCTAGGCATGACAGAACTCAGGCACCCCCTAATTTAAATTTGCCCCACCCCTTCCTGTCAAAGCCGCATCTCTTCCTGTTAAAGACTAACAGACACTTTGACTGACAGACACACACTCTCAGATACACTGACATACAAACACACACACTCACTGATTTGACACAATCTGACAGACACACACAATTAATGACAGACACGCACACACTCACTGACATACACACAAAATGACGCAGATACACACTCACTCACTGACAGACACACACACCCACGAACAGACACACATGCATACACAATCACTCAGACACACATACATGCACACATTCACTGACAGACACACTGACAGATTTCATTATTTTCCACCCGGGTCTATTAAAAAAAAACAGCAGGGGCAGAGCTTAGTGGGAGGTGGAGCTACAATGGTAGCAGAGGTGGGGTTTAAGTCTATCAAAAGCCCCTGGTAACTGCTGCACAGGAAGTGGGAAGCGAGAAGGAGTCCCTGCTTCCCCACCAACTTGATACAGGAGCTGCACTGCCTCCACTAACTCATTCCAGCCAAAATGGAAAGAGGTAATTGTCTGTGTTTGTGCCTGCCTGTCTGCGTGCCTGCCTTTCTGTGTGCCTGTCTTTGTGCCTGTCTGTCTGACTGTCTGTCTTTGTGCCTGCATGGCTGTCTGTCTGCTTTCCTGTCTGGCTGCTTGACTGTCTGCCTGTGTGTGACTAACTGTGTGTGACTGTCTGCCTGTTACAGAGTGTGTGTGTGTGTGTGTGTGTGTGTGTGCCTGTCTGCCTATTCCTGTGTATGTGTATGACTATGTGCCTGTAACTGTGTGTGACTGTCTGCCTGTAACTGTGTGTGAGGGGGTGCAGTGATTTTGTAGAAGGGGGCAGGGGTTTTGTATTGGGACAGGGGTTTGTAGAAGGAGCCTGGACAGGGATTTTGTAGAAGTGGGTTGACAAAGTTTACAAATTTGTGCGATACATTTAAAAATATAAAATAAAATAAAAAAAATTGCAGGGTTTTTATTTTTGGGAGGTGGGAGGGGAGGAGGTGCCAAACACAGTGAAAGGGTTAATGTTGTAATGGACTCTAATCCCCTCGGTTCTCGATCCCTCGGTCACCATAATCAACGTTGATGGAGAATCATTTGTAAGCAATAACACACGGACAACAGCTTTACAAGACTCTCAAATGAGTGTATTCCAGAGCTGGCTTTTATACATAGTTTGCTTACATTAGCCATGGTATATGCAAATACAGTACAGACTATAAGATTTATTACTTCCTTATATTACGTTATTCTGACAATGGAAAGATAAGCTTTTGCATACGTCTGGAAAAGAATATCCTGAAATCGGAATGGGCAAGACATCCTGAAATTTTAGCATTGTCTTACATCCTATAGAAGAAATACCTTAGTCTGTCACAGTCAGCATATTATGTCGTTTAAGTATTCAATATTCCTTCAGTCAGCAATAATCATGTTATAAACCTTATAAAAGCATAAAATACATATAAACAAGTTAACTATTTAATATTCTTACATTCCCCTCTTTGAGCAATAAAACAATTGCTCATCTTATCGATAAAATCTTATCAGGACAGAGAAACTTCCACATGGTATTTTCAGGGGTGCTAGTCACTCCCTGCGGGACTTTCATTAATTTCTTCACCTCGATTCCCATGTGGTAATTCCTAAGGCCAAGTTTAAAGATGGGTTGATACCCTCCAGTGGCAGAGAGGAGAATTTCTAATTGTTTCTGTTCTGCATTATGGATTCATTTCTGTACTCTCTTCCTCAATGTACAAGTAAGGTGACAGTTATATAAAACCATACACAATAAAATCAGGACTATAATAACAAAATGATAGAAGAATGATTTCATTATCTGAGATCCAGTAGGGGACCAACCAGTGAAGCATCGTACCAATGATGGGCTAAATCATTCTGAATTTGTGAACTCACCTTAAGGAGTTCTCCTTTTAGGATATGTGTGGCTACCTGTGTATGTTATCTTTGGGAAAAATATAGTCCCCTGTGTATGTGGGTGCCCACCAGGTTAAATTCTTGGCAAAAAGATCATAAACTGGTACTGGTAATGTGTTAAATTGACAAGCTAATTTAACATCCTTTGATGATGTATGATATAATGTAAAATAGCAAGAGCATGAAAAATGTGAAACATTACCAGTTAACCATCCATTGCATTTACTGGATTGGGGTTTTAGAAGTAACCAATCATTATCTGTGAGGTTACACATTCCTCTAATCTTCTCTAGTTTAGGAATCATTAGTGTGTTTTCTAATGCCAATCCTTGTTGTTGTATCCATAAATACCTGATGGCACAAGTACTCCAGTTACTTAGACCTGTAGTGAATTTCATAGTTGCAACAGTTAAATTATCTAAATAATTATACATTGATTTATCTAAATCCAATCCTCTAACCTGTGATTTAACAACAGTTGGAGCCCAATTTGCAGTAGCATGAAAACCAGTCCCTATATGCATGCTGGCTGTGTTTAACTTATTCTTGAGGGTCTCCATATCTATAACTATTTAGTATACCCATAGTGGTTCCAGCACCTCCTAACAGTGTGTCATACCATTCCCTTTTCTGCCTTTTGTTTGCTGTGTTACATAATGTTACAACAAGAGTAGTGATTTTTAATGACACATGTACAGCTTGTAAGAAGGCAGTTGTATTAATACATGTGGACGGAATAGGTGTGTGTGTGTCGTTGTTGACTTTTGGTTCTATGGTAGAGGATAAAGGACAGTAATAAGGTGTAAACATATAAGGTAGTGTATAGTTCTCAATTGTAGTGTTGTTCATAATGACTAACATTTGTCCCCTTCTCCAATTAATGATACCAGTTATATAATCATTATTAAAAGTAATAAGGCCTGTCTGTTTACATTGATATGTAACCTTAACTGTGCACATTTCTGCGTTATAAGATCTAACAATTTTCTGTGAACCTTTAAACAAACATAATGCATCGGTTTCATTAGCTGTAGACACATTTCATATGGGTAACTGGTACTTATAAGGGTTACTATTTGTCCAATTCATCCAAATGCGTTCAGTCAATGAATGATTGCATATTGCATGCTGATAGAAAGGTGGTGGAAAAAGGTTCTTGAGGGGGCGTGTGTGACGAATGCTAGATGAGGGGCTAAGGCCTAATTGGGCTGGGGGTATTGAAGAATTGTTCATCATGTCAGAGTCTTTTTTCCAGAAACAAACAGGTTTCAAACTTGCCATTGACTTGTACTCATAATGGCATTCAAGGAACAATATCAGAGGGAGTATAACAACTCCAGAAAGCATAGCGCACAACATAATCTTGGTCTCAGGTACGTATGATCCTCTCAATCTACGATATGGTGTAAAAGCCATGATGCTTCGCTGAGGAGAAATTCTTCTGTTTCCGAGCGAGGAGTGGTGTTGTCTTCCTTGGTTCCCCTCTTTGGACACAGCTTCACTCGGGATGCGTGAATCCAGATGTCGTGGGAATCTGTGGACAGCGGTTCTGGGTACAGCAATCACAGTAGCAGGTGGTCCAAAAGGGTATCCTCCTTTCTTGGTCCTGTTCAACTGACGGATATACACCTTGTCACCGGGCTGGTATGAATGAGTAGGTTCCTGTGAAGGTAAGGGAAAACTGCGAAGAAACATTGTCATACATAACATTCGGTTTTATCAACAATTCACCTTGTGGGGATTCATTCTTATCTCAGCTAAAATAGCTGGTAGATATCTTGTCCAATTTACCCATGTTCCTGGGTAAATTCTGGGCTTTTCCTTAATAGTCCTATTCATCCTTTCAACTACCCCTGTATTCTGTGGATGATAGGGTATATGAAACTGCCAGGTAATTTGCAAGAATTTAGCAAGTTCCTGGGCAACCCCACTTGCAAAAACCGGGCCATTATCAGAGCCAATCTGCAGAGGGCAGCAATACCGGGGAATAATTTCAGTAACAATAATCTTCACTAGAATCTTCCCTAGATATCACAAAGGCCTCATGCCATCTACTAAACTGATTAACTATGACCAGTAAGTATTGCTGTTTCTTACCAATTTTGGATACATGAATAAAATCAATCTGTAAGTGTGTAAAAAGAGCAGCGTTCACACGATCTTACAAAAGACTGTACATGCTGCCTGAGATTCCTAATATAAAATGAATTCATGAAGAATTGAATGGTGCTTGCTATGTGCCTGACTGATGAAAATAAATCAGCTTGCTTCAAGTATGCCTATTCTTCAAGTATGCCTATTCTCCCCTCTTTAGAGAACAGATCATTTTGATCTTTCTCTAAACCTTGTTTAATCCAAAAGACAGATTCTGGGTATTTAAAAAAAGAATCTCATAACCACTGAAGCGCTGGGCTGTCATGTGTTGTGTGGTGAGATTTGTCAGCTGAGTGACCTGGTGACTGGCATGAAGTATTGTATGATGCCCTAGTGTGATAGTAGTAGCAGTTTCAACAGCCATTGCACATGCTATCAATGCTCTGAGACACGCCGGCATACCCTTTACCGGAGCTCGAACTACTTTGGAAAAGAATGCTATGGGACGCATACCGCCTCCTTGCTCTTGTGCACAGACCGCGGCCACGGTTTTACAATTGTCCCAAGCATACAAATGAAATGGTTTACAATACACAGGTAGTCCTAAAGCCTGGGCTTGCACAATAATAACTGTAAGGGCAATATATGCAGCTAGCATGTCTGGTGACCAGCAGACATTTTCAGGGCTGTCAGAACGTACAGCCTCCCTTAGGATTGAGTTATAATGGGAGCATTCAGGGATCCATTGGCGGCAGTAATTAATCATGCCGAGGAAGGTGAGCAACTCCTTCCGAGTAGTGGGTGTAGGAATCCTCTGAATGACCTCAATACATTTTGGACTCAATTGTCTGGTGCCTAAAGCCAGAACAAAACCTAAGTATTCAACCTTTGATTTACACAATTGCATTTTGTGTTTAACAACCTTGTGACCCACAGTTGCTGACAGTATCCACAGTGCTTGCCTCATAGTTAGGGCTACATAACAACAAATCATCAACATTTTGCAAAAAGGACGGAACCATGACCGGTGGTCCATGTTTTTTAGAGTATGTTAGAGTACCAACGAATAAACAGCTGGGGAATCCACATAGCCTTGGGTAAGCGTGTCCAGGTAAACTGACAGCCTTCAAAAAATAAAAACCATAAGTAGCTGTGTCTCTTGATTAATAGGTATAGAAAAAAATTTATTACTTAAATCAATGACAGTGAAGCAAGTGGCATCATGTGGAATGGCTGTAATGAGGGATGTCACATCAGGGACAATGGGTGAAATGGGCACAATTAAACTATTCAGGGCTCTAAAGTCCTGAACTAAGCGATATGCTGGCCAGTGGTGTTGGGAGTGGGTCTGGTGTTGTTCTTGCCTACCGGGCATATTTTGAGAATTGTGGGGTTGTTGGGGTGTGTGTGGTTTCCTGGGGTTTCCTGGGGTGTGGACACTCATTCCTCCAGTGGCCATATTGGCCACAGTTGAAACAAGTGTTCCTGTCTATTCCTCCTTGGTTACCCCTGCCCCTATAACCCTGATTTCCCTGTCTCCATCCCCTTGCCCCTCTTTGACCACCCCTTCCACGGGCTTTATGTGCTCCATCCCATCCTCGCTCTCAGCCTGTGTAGGTGGCAATCCCTGAGCATAATAAGCAACCTTACTTTCCTAAATCTTTTCTTAATTCAAAACAACCTGCATTTTCCTTTTCTATAACCTTGGTAAGAAAATCTGAGCTATCCAAATTGTCCCAGTCTGAAATCAATTGTTTCACAAGCAAAGAATACTGTGGCAACATATTACCAAGGCATGACTGTATTTTAAAGAGATCTATATCATCTCCAGACATCAAACCTGCCTCATCCTTCCAACACTTGTAAAATTTATTTACAAAAATCATATTACCAATCTCTTCCTTTGCATCTTGCTTATATGCCAAAGCAGTGAATATAGACTGCTTATTCTTCCATAATCCCAACATTTCAGCTTCCACCTTGTTCCAAATTTTAGCACATCTTACTGAAGTACTAAGCTCATAATCACCAATTCATTTCAAACCATATAACTCATACTCAGCATCCAATGTAATATTACACGTCATCTCACAAAGCAATATCTTTGTAGAAACACATAATGGGTACCCAGCAGATATGCCAATACAGAAATCACATTTATGGGCACACAACTACACACTCTGTCTCCCTCCTAGGAAACACGGATAGACACAATATAAAAGCAATCTTAAACTAACACCTCCAAATCTCCAACTATTCTTGGCCAAAACGCTAGTATTCAACAACTAATAAAACAGTTATTTGCTAGGTTATTTGGCTGTCATTCTTATCAGTATCACTAGACTGTGACAAACTGATTCACATATAATTTAAAACAATACAGCAACATATAAATTAAACCACTTTCAAGTTTAACTGCACACTTATCACACATTATCACAATCACCATTTACACAGAATAAAAAGTTAACAGCTGTATTCAGAACATATTATTGGAAGGTATACCAATTTTAGTTTAGATTTATTTTAGGGATTCTTATGTGTACATTTTCTTAATTAACTTCATTACTTTAATCTACTATAGTATTGTATTTAAAGAAAGGATCCATTTATATAGCGCGCTCATAACTCAACTATTTGTATAAAACTACCATTAACTAATCTGAGATGATGCTGCATCAACTTAAATCTTACAGAAATTGAACAAACATCTGGACCAGATTAAACAGACATGGTTTCACCTGAATCTTTCAGAACTCTCAGAGACTTAAAAAATTTATACTATACCATGTTTTAAAGGCATGGCAAACCTTTAGACCGGTCAGTCTCCAAGAGCCCTTTGTAATACAGGTAAAAACCTTTGTCCATGATGTCTGATTCAGGCTATATACCACAATTTAAAATAACACATAATGTGAGACATAGAAGACACAAGCAGTAGTTATTACACTGGATCACTGAAAAGGAACCTGTTGCAATAAAAAGGTTAGTTTACAGTGCAAAATAAAGCATGTGTTGGACCGCTGAAAATGTAAATGTTGCTCTGTTATTTTCAAACAAAAATTATATTTACAGTATGGATCCTCTGCAACAAACACACAGGGCAGGGAAGATGTGCTGATTGGTGTTTCTATACAATTAATCCCATATGGGGAATTAACTTTCAAATACTAATGAAGTGACTTTTTGTCTCAGTTATAAAATATACTGAGCTCATCATGCAAACAATGTACAAACACATTTACACTATCCCACTCTCATAATAAGTGTAGTGGGCTTATAGTATTTTTAAAGCAACAATCATTCCAGGCACACAGTTCCCATGTGAAATAACTTACAATAAAACAGAGTAATAAACTTATATTTCTATGCGACAGAAAGAATAAAGTTAAAAAGATTTAAGTAGGTCTATCAGGTACAACCTATGAGTCATTTCTTTTCTAATATACAGTACTGCTATCTTGCAGAAAGATAAGTCCTGCGCTCACTCCCATCACTACTGGGCAGCAGCAAGGACTACAGTACACATCAGCCCCAATATATGGTAAAAACCAAAGAAAAACAAGTTACCTGCGTTCTCTCCTTAATCCCTATGTATTTTTAAAACCTCCATTTGTTTAAAAGTACTGCTATCTTATATATACACATATACATATACACACACATATATACATACATATACACATATATACATACACACACATATACATGTACATATATTGGTCACTCAGGACATGAACTCACATTTCCCATACTGCTGACTCAGAGTGGGGACACTACTAACTTACCAAAGTGTGTCCCCAATATAGACAAACAATCACCCACAAAGAACACTTAAGACAAACAAAGGTGACCGGGAGAAAGAGAAGTTTGGGTTATACTTATAGATCTACAAACCGTGCTGCTCAGAACACCTATAGACTTAATAAACCGGAGACCTCTTATGGTCTCAAAAACCTGTATCTACCTGAGATACCCTGTATCTATCTTAGATACTAACCTGGGTTACCAAAACCCTATAATAAACCGGAGACCTCTTATGGTCTCAAAAACCTGTATCTATCTTAGATACTAACCTGGGTTACCAAGAACCCCTATATATATTTAGACCAAATGTCTAATAAACCGGAGACCTCTTATAGTCTCAATATAACTAGAGTCCTTACACCTTTCCTATCTACTGGATACAGTCTTACTGAACCAAAGGGGGGTCATAGACAATCAGCGTCAAATAAGACACAAAAAGGCTACTCACCGCAAATGGTTTTGCTGATCCACTTCATCTATCCCACTTCTAGACACCAAGCTGAAAGGGTTAATGTTGTAATGGACTCTAATCCCCTCGGTTCTCGATCCCTCGGTCACCATAATCAACGTTGATGGAGAATCATTTGTAAGCAATAACACACGGACAACAGCTTTACAAGACTCTCAAATGAGTGTATTCCAGAGCTGGCTTTTATACATAGTTTGCTTACATTAGCCATGGTATATGCAAATACAGTACAGACTATAAGATTTATTACTTCCTTATATTACGTTATTCTGACAATGGAAAGATAAGCTTTTGCATACGTCTGGAAAAGAATATCCTGAAATCGGAATGGGCAAGACATCCTGAAATTTTAGCATTGTCTTACATCCTATAGAAGAAATACCTTAGTCTGTCACAGTCAGCATTATGTCGTATATTGAGTATTCAATATTCCTTCAGTCAGCAATAATCATGTTATAAACCTTATAAAAGCATAAAATACATATAAACAAGTTAACTATTTAATATTCTTACACACAGGATCCCCCCAAAATGCCAAATGCTCTAAGTACACCCCTGACATGTGGTCCTCACTATGACCTACCTGTTTTATGATGGCTCGCACTTATAACCAGTTCTCTAGCATGGGGATTCAAGGGATTCCCCATATTAGAGAGCTTGTCTATGTTCTAGGAATTTTATCAGAACGTAGATTAGAAATATTCCCTGCTCTGGTGCGTATGTCTACGTTCGGGTAAAAATCCCCAAACATAGACAAGTGCACCAGAGCAGGGAATCCCTCCAATCTATGTTCGCAGAACGTTCCCAGCACAGAGATTTGAGAGATTCCCTGCTCTGCTGTGCTTGTCTATGTTCGGGGAAATTTCAACACAGCCCTGCACGCATCCTCACTTACCGAACAATTTGTTTTTTACAACCGGGTCATAAGAACGGAACCCGGTCGGTAAGTGAAGAGTATCTGTACATGATTGCCCAGGACTACAGTTTAAAACGTGTGGGACAGAGCCACCGTTTATCCAGCTATTTGCGTTACTTTGTAACAATGTCTGCTAGTTCTGATTTTATTATGATCATCTCAATTTACCTCCAGGCCTGCTTCATCTTTTCACAATAACCATATTTTGGTCAGTCCCAAATCCCTGATTACCTAGCCCTAATTAGTCTCAATGTAGTGTGTGTGTGTGTGTGTGTGTGTAACTTATTACAGACAACTCAGTATATTTGTTATATATGCCCTTATCTCTCTATGGGTCATATGACTTTCATCTTTATACCATACGAATTCTAATATGCTCAACATAAAACACATACAGGAAATACTGGTTTTGCTGGGTTTATAAACTATATTTGAGTAAGTAAAAGTTACAATTAGAAACTGTATGTTTATTACATTTTATTAATTTATTGTTGAGTACATGCAATACATGTGATGTTTTGAAGCATCTTGCATACCCTTGTATAGTACAACAGGTTGCGATAAGTACATTTTTTATGGGCATTAGATCTATGTACAAACATGATTTTTACTGTTGTCATTTTAAGAAAATTGCGCAGCTAAATAATAAAGAAAAGTTTCTTACTAATAACTGCAAACAAGGAATTTTACGGTTTCTATTCATCTATTTTTGCAATTCTTACTGAGTGTGATAATATGTTGTTTCTGTGTGAAAAATTGCGAACAAGAAAAAAAAAATAATGATTTATAAAATATGTCTATTTGGTTTCTGTAAAGGATGAGCAAAAAAAATAGAAAACACAATATTCTATTTTCATGATTTAAACTTTCTAAAAATTCGAACATTGCTAATTTGTCCTACATGTATGTGGTAGGTATGCATGTCTATATGTTATTGAGTCAGATTTTCAAAGGCAAAACAGGTGCTTGTTTAGGAGCAAAGTGCTAAATACATAATATTGGTTTCCTTGATGATTGCTCTTAATTTAGCTATTTGCCTCCCTAAAAGCACCTGCTTTTACATTGATAATTCTTTTCCTCTATGTTACACACATACATGCATACACTGTAATGCATTGCAAAATTTGCCAATTACACACAC